ACCTCATTCTCAGTGGTCGCCCCGAGAAACGAGCTGTATTTACATGTTGTCCCACCGCTAGACAGCCTATCATAGTCCAGCTGGCCGAAAGCCCCCACCCACACCCCCACCCCTGCATGTAGTGCGCCCGCTGCGTGTAGCGTCGAGTTTAACTAGGCCATTGAGCTTGTTTCTGTAAGCGAGTGCACGCCGCATCCTACCCAGTGGCTGAAATTCATGCGTTACTCACGCCTGGATGCCATTTGTCTTGCTGATCTAAAAATAACTTGCAGCCACCCAAGTCCAAGGCAGGCGTCACCGTCGTTCAGCATCTTTCCGCATCGCTTCTGGCAAGGCATTCTTTTGAATATTTGTATTTTTTAAGTCAAATGTACAACATTTGCATATGTTCTGTACTTTTTTTTTTTTTTTTTTGGGCTTGCTTTTCCCGAGCTTGTTTGTTTGGTATCGTGTTCTCAAATGGCTGTTTGTTTTGACCGCCCAAGAGTTCAATCTTCAACAACTTCCTGATAACGACCATTGTGCGCAGTAGAAAAAAAATAGCTAATAATGTAATCGGCAATAGACCAATGAAAAATAAACCCATCAAGTCCAACACACTTTATTTACACGGTGGCAATGTACAGCACGTGTCATGAATAATGCGACAGCTCCTCTTGCCAGTTAGTCCTGATCACTGCCAATGTGCACCATACAAAAAAAAACAACCCAACGAGAAATAATTCATTGTTGCGCCACAAAAATGCACAGGCATATGTGCACTGGCAATGTACGTGTCGTGAATAACACGACAGCTCCTCATGCCTGTGATTCATTCTCAAAATTCCAGAACATTGATCACCGCCACCTCGCACAATAGAAATAAACACAACATATTGTCACAGATTATGAACAGTCCATAAGGTGCACAATACATAGGCAGTCAACAAAGCGTCTCTTTTTTTCGTTATGATTTTACTGCCAGGGGGAAAAGTGATTTATGTCTGGCAATATGTCACATAGGGAGATGACGTGGGATTTTTTTTTTTTGTTTGTTTTGTTTTTTTTGTTTGTTTTAATCGCTCTTGTCTTTTTGGACTGCGTGCGACTTGTAAAGGAGGGAATCCGGTTTGATGACTTCGTTGCTGGGAGGGTGTATGTGTGTGTCTGTGTGTTGTCTAGGGGGTTATGTGTGCGCTCAGTAGTGCGACAGGGAGTGGTGTGTGTGTGTGTGTGTGTGAGTGCGTATGTGTGTGTGTGTGCGAGAAATCTATTTGCTATTCTACCTGGCTGGCCCGGTGGTGTTGGGAATAGAAGCCACGCCTCCCTTGCCCTCATTCTCTATTTCCCTTCCCTCCCTCCCTCCCTGGTTTCACTGAGCACAATTCTTCAGCTTGGTGATCAGTGCAGTCAATGAATCGCAATGAGGGGGGAAAACCGCCGTGGAAGTCTTGGATTCAAGTTTTTTTTTTTCTTTGTGGAATAGAGTAAGGAAACCTCACCTGATAAACGCTCCACCCCGGGTGAGTAATATAAAAGAGCATGCGTAGAGGGGGAATGACTGGCAAACTCTGGAAGGACCTCCGTCAAGTCATTTCACCCTCGCTTCTCCTGAGCAATTAAAACGAGGGGGGAGCCCTCGGGAAAAAGCTTGTTGTTGCTACGGCGATATAGCTTTGTTTGGGAATTTCCAGAGGGGGTCGACTAAAGGGATGTGATCTGTGCTTTTTCAATGAAAGAAGAAGGTCAGAAGGAGCAGAGGGATCCCTGAAGCTCGGAGTATACGTGCCTCCCTGCGGTTGCCTTAAATTGACGGAATCAGGATGACGAACCGCCTTTGGACTTTTCCTCTTTGCCGCTCGATGCGGTTGGACCTGTTTACCCGCTCAACGAAGCCACAAATTCGTTAACCGTTGCCGGGCAGCCGTCCGCAACGCCGACCTCATTCCCGGATCAATGGCGAACCTTCTCCGGTGATCCAAGACCCCGCCCCCCCCAAAAAAAAAGGCATCTGCTCAAGCCATGGATTCCCACCACTCCTTTTGGAATTCCAGGATGCAGAACACCACGTGGGTGGAAGGGGAGGACCAGGACGTGTACGAGGTGGAATCTCGGATCCCCCTCCCACGGCCTTTCCCTGTCCCCAGCACCTTGACGGAGAGGAATGCCGTTCTGGTGCAGACGCAGATCTCGCACGTCAATCATCGCACAAATGGTCACCTGCTGAAAGTCATCTCCAGGATCTCTCTGCCCACGCCTCCCTATACTGTAAGGTTACACCTCACGCGAGAGGTGCTGATGAATATTTTACCCCCTGCAGCGTCAGTAATGCACGTGATGAATTAAATATCAACGACTGAGAGCTGTGATGGGTTTCAGAAAAGTAACACCTTCCATGGCCTAAAGAGATTTTTTTTTTCCTTCACGTGTTCTAAAATTCGGTCTAACCTCCGTAACGCACGTGTCCATTTTTTTTTTAATGTGTTGCTGTGCCATGGTTTTTAAAATTGATTCATTGTAACTTTCGTAATCCAGTACATTTCAGTCTGTGCTTTTTAAATACATTTACTTCAGTCAGGAATTCAATCAGTACTTTTCAACTTTCCCCCCTTTTTTTTTTTTTTTCCCCCACAAGCACTTATACTACACCTCTGACTGCGAGGGTTGTGTGACTCCCACGTGACGAACGTCACCACTTCCTGTTTTGCATAATGCAGAAAAGAAGACCTTTGCACTCCAGAGATACGCAAATCAGTTGAAGCCGTCGTGGAATCGCAGCGAAACACAACCTTTGCCATATACTGTATCGCAATCCGGGTATTACTCTCCTCACGATGAAGTTCAGAAAACAATAGTACGGTTTGCGTGTTATGTTGAAGGACGGTCACATTAGACACACAATATAAGAATTTCCCATTGTAAATTTTAAAGAGGTTTACATTATTTAACAAGGGAAAATGACTCGGGATAATTAGAGATCCGAAAATCAGTTATGTGTGCGCACAATAAAATGGGATCCAAGACCTCCATCAAAATTTACATCCATACAAAGAGACGAATGCTCAAATTTTGATCGACACTATTACAGTGGTATAATACAACAATATGATATTGCGATGGGATTGGAGCTGCATGACCTTCATCCGTATTTTTATTTATTTTGTGGTCAACAATCAGGTCGAACATGCCCGCATCACCCAGACGGAGCTCATGCGCGAGTCCTTCCGCCACAACCAGGAGATCAGCGAGCTCCTGCAGAAGCAAGAAGAGCTGCAGGAACGTCTCGCCGAGGAGGCTCGGGCACGCGAGCGGCTCGCTCTCGAGCTCCACCGTGCCGAAGGTGAGCATCTCATCGTGTACAGTAAGGCAGCGAGGTTCAAATTTTTCCCAGTGTGGATGGGCCACGTACAGAAACAGCAGGTGGCTTGTTTTTGAACCCACACCCATTTCACTGTAAGTCAGCGTATGGTAGGCCACTGAAACAAATAAATCGTGACTCATCGCTGACTCTAAGGCCCTCATGTGCGAGAAATGAAAGTCACAGTTGCGAATCCACTTTTCAGCAGTTTCAATGCCAGGAACACAGTAAAATAGTCGCGCGGGTGCTGCTGTTGGCCACAGCTCACACCCACACACAGATTTGCTAGCCTCACGCCACTCCCGATACAAGGACACTACAAGTCATACAGTAGTTTTATACTTTTTTTTTTCTGCGCTCAGATGTTTACAGTTTGTTTAAAAGTAGCGAGAATTGTTTTTGTTTTTTTTTGGCTCCATCTGAGTCCAAGAGAAATGGCACCCGTAACCGCCTTTTAATGCGGTGCGTTGTATGGTCGCCAAAATACCCCAATTGTGATTCCAGACTTTGAGGTCAATAAACCAAAGATGAGGGAGTGGGGCAGTCAGCAGTTTGAAATTGAGCCGAAAGCACTTGCGACTTCAACCATTGTTAGATTGTGCTCCCGTTGCGATTGTCTTACAAGTTTTGTAGTTTGGAAGTGACGCCACTGCTTTTAAGACTTTAAAGCGGGGAAAAACAGAATCACATTTTCAACTGGAGTGTGGGAGAAACCTTTTTCCATCTTGTCGGGGCGGTGGAGCGTCACTCGCCTCGATTGCCGGCCCCATCCGTGTCAGATACAGCTGGTACCGCAAGGGGCCAACTGCTTGCTTGCTTGCTCAGTCCACGCGCACCAAACATCAAAGCTGACTTTTAGCTCAAGTCTATCAAGCACAGAGCAGCACGTTTTTGCAACCCTTTGGAAACGGATTGCTGGTGAGACTTCTTATCTTTCTTTTACTCGAGCCGGATCAAGTTATACATCACGGAAATCCGATATGTGTCGCTATAAAATGCTATTTTAAAGGATAGGTGACCAAATATTTGTATTGAGCATGCACTGTGTTCTGAATAACAAAGCATGTAGGATTTAAGGGGGAGCCGTGACATGTGAACGGTCTATCCCGGAGAAGGACCCTCCTTAGGCAAACTCAACACAATGTCTTGCTCAGGTGTCTGAAGTGCGGCGGCGCTCGGGATGTTGACCCTGGAAGCCCACTGAATCAACATAAGCAGCTTTTAACAAGCCACAAAATGCACTTTGATGATATTTAAGAGTTATTCTTAGAGAAAACCACTCTCTCCTCTCTATATCCGCGACCGCGAATGGCATCCCGGAGCAAAATGCTTGCTGACCTGTGACGAAGCCGCGGCGCTATCAAGCATTTCATTGTGTTTGCAACCCACTCCTGTTCTACATGTCGAGCAAAATGGGTCAGACATGCTCACTTGTGTGTTTCTCAATTATGCAGCGGGAATGCGTTTGTGCTTGCTGGTAACCTTGAGTTGTTTTTTTTTTTTTCTTCCCCCCCCCCGGTCTCGACTGGGCCTCCGCGCACAAAAGAACAGCAATTTTCAATGCACTTATCTAACCGTCTCGTCTCATGCAGGTTTGATTGATGGCTACACAGGGGAACGGGCTGCCCTGGAGGAGCAGTTACGTCAGAAGCAGGAGCTCCAGCTGAACCTGGAGCAGGAACTGCAGGTAAATACCTCAAAAGCTGCAGTTAAACGAACTGAAGTTAACCCACTCAAGTTTTAAATGTCTTTAAATCTTTTTTTTTTTTAAATGGTCTATTGTATCCCCCATGACAAACGAGGGTTCACTGTATATATTTGAATCCAGGTTACTGGGAGTCGACTGCAGGAGCTGGAGCAGGAGAGGCTTCAAATGCAGGAGGAGCGCGAGCTGGTTTCCCGGCAACAAGACGCCATGCGAGAAACCGCCGGTACCCGTGAGCTCTGTACGTATCCCAGAAGACCTGTGACAAAAAAAGTCCGTGTGTCCCGAAAAACGCTCTTTGCGGTCTGTCTTTTTTTTTTTTTTTAATTCTTTTTTTTGCACCATAACCCCTCTTGTTATTAAAAAGGTATCCCAATGTGAACGTTTTCTCTTTTGAAGGGTGAGTATTGAATAGATTTCAGAACATGGGGGAAAAAAAAAATCTCTTTCATGCTTTTTGCATCTTTGCACCCTGTGATAACTCTTTCACAAACTGCTGAATTCTGAAACGCAAAGACAAAAGCTGCACCACCCACCCCCTTTTTTTTTTTCTGCCGTCTTTTTCCTCTTGAGATGTTCCTATTTGTGACACTAAAGGAAAGCATGTTCAACTCCTGTGCTTTCTTATTCTTCTTTAGGCCTAGTTGAAGCTGCAATGGTTGCAGCACCTGAAGCAGGTGTGTCCACTTTGAGCATGGCTCAGCCCCTCTCGTTCTCCCTCTCTCCATGTTCTTTTTAATTGTTTAACCTTTGAGAGATCTTGTCGCCCTAATCCGGCAGCATCACACAGAGGTGGGGAGTCGAGTCACATGACTTGACTTGAGTTTGACTAAACATTAACGTGCATCCTGCTGTTTACGGGACAATAATGAAACTGGTTTGGGACCTTTAAAAAAAAAAATGCAAGTGCAAATACTAAATGCAAAGTGGCTAGCTACCTTGACTGAGCAAGATTTTATGAGTTGCTTTCACCCAAGTAGTGACTTGGCTCGACTTGCTTGAAATTTAGTGGACTTGATGACTCCCACCTCTGGCATCACACAACAAGGCTTGTGCTTGCTTTTTGGGCTTACGCTGACAATTAACCTTTGCTCCAGCTTTTTGCTTTTCACTAATCTTGTCCAACACTTTTCTTTTTTTTTAGCATTTTGGATTGAGTGATAGCCCTGGTTTTAGCATGATGGAATGAAAGCGACATCGGTCTCCTAATCATCACTCATCAGTATTTTGTCATATTGATTTACCAGTTTGTTGGGTTTTTTTTGGTAATTTGCCATTAAGATGAATGCAAATTCCCCTCTCCCTCCTGTCGACGCTTCCTGGGCATGAATACTGTAATGTTATGGTCTGTCACTCACACACTTGTTGCACCTTATTACTGCTAATCTCGTGGCGTGGGAGGGGGGTGTTGATCCAGGGTGAACCAATGGGGTTTTTTCCTCGGTGGTAGTGGTACGAGAATCGTCTCGGTGCTGCGGATCTTCTTGGATAATTGAATGGGATATGTGAAGAGTCTGAGGATAACCACAACAGCTGCATTATGCACCGTCTACAAATATTTTTAAAACACATTTTCTCTACTTTGGGGAAAAAAATAAAACTGAGACTGTGCAGGATTAGATCGTAGGTGGCCAACAGTAAAACCATTTTAGCCTATCTGAATCCTGAAGAAAGGCACATGTAGAAATCTGTATGGGGCCTTAGTCAAGCCACCTCATTTGGCAATTCAGTATTAGTCAAGGCGTTAAAACAACTCAGGCTCTTCTCTAGTCTCATCATCCTATTCATCGCCAAAATCGCTTCTACGTCGATAAAAAGGAACGTCCAGGTGCTAACAGCTTCCGTGTCCGTTCAGATTTCCTGGAAGAGACGGAGAAGCTGATGAAGGAGAAGGTGGAGGTGCAACGCCAGGCGGAGAAGGAGAGCGCCGACCTGCTGAAGCAGATGAAGACCCTGGAGGCCGAGCTGGAGGAGCAGGTCAACCGGGTGATGGAGCTCGAGCATGCCCGCAAGACCGAGACCGGGGACCTCCAGCAGCAGATCCAGGCACTGGAAAAGCAGCTGGACAAGAACCGGCGCTTCCTTGACGTAAGCGACAAACACTGGAGGTTGCAAAATACTCTCATAACTTAAGTAGAAATCAATATTTCAATGGCCTTATTCGTGCGGGAGAAAAATTCATTTTTACGCGTTTGTCAGGAGCAAGCCGTGGACCGGGAACACGAGCGCGACGTCTTCCAACACGAGATCCAGCAACTGGAGCAGCAGCTGAAGAACCAGCAGAAGTTTCCCGGCGGCTCAGAGCAAAGGAGCCAACAGGTAACAAGAGAAGGGAGGGGAGCTTTCTTTCGCATACACGACACCAATTGAGGCGGTCCGTTCTTCCTTGAACGTGACACCTAACTTGTTGACGTGGGAGACAAGTGCCAGAATGCGATGAATGCCTTTTGCTTGTCACGTTGTAATCATTAACCGAGCCATTGGATAACTGACTTAAAGTAAGCCTCTCCTATTCACGGAAGAATGGGACGGAACCCCTTTTACATTATAGAGGGGAAAAAAAACAGGCAATTCTGTTTGCTCCAAGGCAGGCAATGCAAAACCCTGAATTAGTCTTCATTTGTTTGATGCTTTAAATGTTAATCAGGAGACTGTTTGAGAATGAGGCCAAGGTAAGGAAAACAAATAGATGGCTAAGGAAGAGTGTGACCTCTGCCCAGGAATTGGTTTGATTACACGAGTAAAGGGAAAAGGCAGATTGCTGCCACTTCTGGCGTCATAGTGTCATTGTGGGAATTTACTCATGACACTGAGAGGTATCAGCTACAGACAAAGGCCATTGTATTCAATCATAACTTACTTTAGTGTGAGAATAGCAATTTGTTAGTGTGCTGTAATTCTTTATCCTTTGTGTATTTTGTCCAAAGATTGTCAGATAACTTTGACTACTGGGAACTGCTTCAAACTTTTTAAAAAGGGGGGAGCAAAATATGTATGAGTTAAATTTACTCTCCACACTTGCGTTTGTTGGTTCATTGTCACTTGAACTTAACTCTGAATCATAACGCCGAACATTTTGACACGTTAGTTAATGTGTAACACACATCAGCGCGTGGCCTGGCGTCATAACCGGCAGTCAAGCCACACATTCAAAATGTTACTTGGGCAAATGCAATGAGTAGAATATTTGTCCTTTCTGATGGTCAGAGATGAAAGTCCTCCGGATTTTCCCGGAATTCCGGGTTTTTCAAATTTTTATGAAAATTTCTCCGGAGAATTGAGGAAAATTTGCATAATCCGGATATTTGTTGACAACATTGAACGAAGACGCGTTTGAGTTCGTTGTATTGCTTTCACGAGCGTAGCCATATAGCGGCACTAACACTAGTAACAGTAAAGAGATTTTTGTTTGTGTAATAACGACAGAAGGCATGATGGCGTTTGACTAATGGTTTAGTAGAACGAATGGCAACTCGCAACAACAGTAGCAAGCGTCATTTTGCCTCTTGGGTTATACCATCTCAACTAGAACGTGGGGGATAGTCCCCAAACAATCTTCGTC